AGTCTCATTCCTCACTTGCACATTTTGGAGTACGTGCGTTGGAGTCTTGCGTGGGGAGCTGCGTTGTGCCATCTTGCTCCCCCTTCTTCCTTCATCTCCATCTCTGTCACTAGCGGAGCACCACACCTGGTGGGTCCGCTATATTGGTATCGGAGCGGGAACGGTCCCCGCCCCCACCCACCACACCACACAGCAGGGAAATACGGCAAAACCCGACAGTCGGGTTTTCGGCTGTTTTTGGGGCGTTTTCGGGCAAAAAAGCGGAAAAAAGCGGGAAATACAACGAAAAAAGGTGCTGCCGCAGGAAAACTCCACATGGCGAAAAAGGAAGCCGGATCACGACGCGTGTGCCAAGGCCAAGGCCGCCGCACGCGCGCGCGCGCGCTGACCCGCTGCCCCGCCCTGCCCCGCTCCCGGATTTATATTATCAAGATTCGGGATTCAACTGCTGCTGCTGGGGTTTAAACCCAGGCACTTGCCGAGCCATGCGCATGCGTAAGCAGCCTCATAACACACTCGCCATAGTGTATCCATGGTTTTGTAACACGGCACACTGGTGTTGAAGAGGTGCCGTGCTGGCTATTTACCCCCCCCCCCCCCCCCTGGCTATTATTTCTTATTTATTTTCTGAAAATTCTTTTTTATTTATTTATTTGCGGCATCTCTAGTGTGCACACCTCGGTCTCTCCTTTTCCCTTGGCACATTCTTGACCCCGTGGGGGGTAGGGAAATGCTGCCGAAAATTTCAAAAAAATAAATATTATTTCTCTTCACATCTTTTTACTTATTTTTTTAATTATTTTTATTATTTATTATTTATTTATTTTCTTATTTATTTTATTTCCTCTCGAAATCTCGCTATTTATTTATTTTTCTCCCGTCTCCCCCCCCCTCCAATGCTTGCTATTTTACTTTCTTGATTACGTCACCGGTACCCTACACTAGCCTTAAACCTTGGTTAGGGTTTTCTTAGGGGTCTTGTAGGGTCTAGGGTTCCTCAAACCCCCCCTACTTCCCCGTCCTCTTCGGGCACCCTGGACCCGAACCACCCCTCCCCCTTTGACGGCGCCCGTGCTAGCCTTGCTAGTGCCGTTCGCCGCTTTCTACCGCGGACTTCCCCCTACGCCCTCCGCTCAGGCGGACCTCTTCTGGCCCCCTCCAGTCCGGTCCGTCATCTCCCCATGACCGACGGTGCGTCACACGCTGTCGACACGGCGATAACCACGGCATCGGGCTCCACACCCGTGCAGGCAGACCAGGGCCATCAGCCCCAGGGGGATCTACACACCCTCCTCACCTCCCTCCTCGCGCCCATCCAGGCGCAACTCGCGACCCTCGGGCCCTTACAGGCGCAGATGGCGACCCTTGCCGCCGGCGTGCAGGAACTCCTGGACGCTGGTTGTCCTTCCTCTCCTCCTCCTCTCTCTTCTCCTGGCTCTCAGTCCGGGTCCCCAGTTCGCCGACAGGGTGGCCACAGCGGAGTTTCCTCCTCTGCCGCCCCCGACCCGCCCATTTTGGTGACCGTCCACGCCCCTAGCTCGACGGCCGCCACGAGTCAGGCCCTTCCTCAGTCTACGGGCGCACTGGCCCAGATTCTGGTTACGACGGCCACGAGACCACAACCCGTTACCATAGTCTCAGCGTTTCCGGGTGCCTCCACTCTTCCCCCTGCTACCCCTTGCACGACCTACGTTCGGGGTCTCGAGGACGAGATTATCCAGCTCCAGGCCAACCTCGCCCTCTTACGCCTTCAGCCACCCCCACCCTCACAGGTGGCGGCGCCTTCGGGCGCACCCCCTACCTCCTCTACCCTTCCTCCCCTGCAGGCTCGCTTTCCGCGCCCTGCACCCTATACAACTCCTTCCTACCTTCTTCCTACTCCCGCGGTTGCTGCGACCTCTTGTACCGCAGCACCCTCGCAGCCCCCATGCACCCCGGGCGCACAGCCAGCTGCGCCCCTTTCTCCAGGACCTGCGCCGACTTACTCAGCCGTGGCACAGGCCTCCGCTCCTCGATCCCCTTGCCGCCAAAACGGTGGCGCACCACTCATACGCTTGTTGGACATTGCCTTGTATGACGGTACAGGCATACGCGTGTCTCGGTGGCTGCAGTCTGCCACCTGCACACTCCAGCTCATGGGCGCCACACCCGAGACGTGGGTGGGTCACCTCTCCACGC